TAATAAAAAGATGTAATTTTTTTTGTAAAAAAAAGTTGTTAGATGGATTTGAATGATTGTTTTGAATTCTTAGAATTTTGTGCATTTGCAATGCACCTAAGTCAGTAGCGAGCGAAGCGAGCTTGGTTCGGGGTTTGGCGAGCGTTAGTGAGCAGGGGGGGCAGCCCACTAGTAGTAGATAAAATCGAAACCATTATTTAGCAATAAAAATAATTACAAGTTTGATGGATCATTTCAGCTGATGACATAAATGATGGATAAAAAAAATCTTTACTCAAAATTAATTATATTAAATTCAAAAATTCTTGATATATAAAATGATTTTTTTGCATTATTATTTTTAACTTATATACTATTTCTGATTGAATGAACTTAACTATATATTTAAGTATGAATAATTTACCGAAAATTGTCAAAACAAATTAATTAATATTTTTCTCTGTCCTTAGCAACCAAAATGTAAATTAAAAATGAAGATTGAATTAAAGTAATAAAGTAATATTTTTAAAAGAACTCTAAAACCACTCGATTGAAGCTGACACAGAGGATAGATCGTTCGCCTTCCAATGAGGTGCGAATCAAAGCAATTGCTGGTTAATACGAATTTCGTACCCGGATCGCACCGACTACAGTGCTGACACAAAATATCCTCAGTGGTAGATGGATCATCAGTTAGAGTCCCCTTGCCGTCGGGTTAACCGTTGGAAGTTTTCGTGGTTTTCCTCTCCATGTAATGCAAATGCTAAAGTCCACCACGAATGCAAATTTCTCCCAATACTCAATCCGGGAACTCCCTTGGCTTCTGGATTGGGTTCAAAATTACAAGACTACGGAATTGAAGATAAGTAGTTGTAAACCCAAAATTGGGTCAACTGTTCAACGACGGTTATAAAATAACTCAATGGAACAGTGGTGGGCCTCCTCTTCAACTATAAACTCCTTTCGAGGCTTAGTGGATGGAGCTCTCGCTTCCCAACGTGGTAACTCGGGTTCTAATTCCAGGTGGATAAGAATTCCACACACAGCTTGCACCGACCACAGTGCTAACGAAAAATATCCTCAGTGGTAGACGGATCATGGGTCAGAGTCCACTCTATTCGTTCGTATTCTTAAAATGGTATACTTCAATTAGTATTAAAAAGATTTACTTTAATTATACAGATTAGAACACAGATTGAAAAAAAAATTGTAATTGTCAAAAGCAAATAATTTGGGTAAAAATGCTAGATTTCCTTAAAAGTTTTTTTTTTAAAAAAATTTAAAAAAAAGAGGCCTTTTGACAAATTGCTCATTTATGTTTATGCATTTATTTAGTTATTCTTTTTTGATGAAAAGATTTTTTTATGGTTAACTTAAAAATGTCGATTTCAAGCTTACTGTTTCTTATTTTCAACAACAAAAAAAGAAAATAGATAAATAAAAAAAGAGAAAGGAGGGTATCGTTTTATATTTGCATTATGTGTATTATGAATGGAATATAAATTTTTTACAAAACAATTTATAATTTTTTTCCCTGTCATTTTGATGTATTCTGATACTTCTGAAGAATAAAGAAAAACTTTTTTTCGCAAATATTGCTTTCAAAAATTACAGAGCTACATTTATTGATATTATGGAGCAGATGCATGTTATAAATATTACGCACTGTTTTACTGGAAAATGTATCACGCGTTTTATTATGAAAAATTGATATAAAAGCTGAAATTAAGTGTGAAAAAAGTCTTGTTACAAATAATAAACAGACTATAATAAATCACTAGACTTTAATAATTAGACTAGGAGGTTCCCCCTTGCTCTCCAACCTGCCAGTTTCTTCTTCCTGAAATTAAGTTGGCAAAGTAATAACATTTTCATAAATTTTCTAAAAACTGTAAAAGCTGTTGCTGAATTCCAAAAGTTCAAAGATTTTCCTTGCAAGCATTTTCTTATAATGAGACCGAAATTCTGGTTTTAATTAAGTATAGCTAGTTTTTTTCGAAGAAACAATTTGAAATCAGAGTCTAATTAAAAGAAGGAAAATTAAAAAGATTCATTCCAAAATAAATTGATAATTAATAAATAATAATGAAAAAAAAATTTGGCTATTGTTTAAACTTATGAAAGGCATCTTTACTTTATCGTTTATAAAATATTAACTCTTTTTTAATTTAATATAAATTATATAATACATTAAGAATAACGCGTAACTACGCGCTAGCTTGTTTTCGGCCATGAATAATGATCTAATAGCCGGCCATGAAAAAAAATACTACGAAATTCAGATTGATAACAGCTTGACCTTTAAAGATTTATTTGATAATAATGAAATTATTTGTGAAAAAAACGGTTACAATATTTGTTTTCTAACATTTTAAACTGATGGGATAAAATTAATGTAGAAACATAATTTCTTTCAACAACTTGAACCGAAAAGTTTTTATTTTTTATCATTATTTCATTTCATTTTTACTCTAATCATTTCTAATCATTTATTAAAGTCATTACAGTTTCATTACATAGTAATCATTACATACTATTGTATACATACTAGTCTACATGCTACTTTTCCCTTTTTCATTACATATTAATTTCATTACTGGTCGTATAACTCTAACCGTTCTGTATTTGGTAAAAAAATTTGTCTCTAACTTTTCAAGTCAGCATGATATTGCTGGGCAATGGCAACGCTAGAAAATNAATATAAATTATATAATACATTAAGAATAACGCGTAACTACGCGCTAGCTTGTTTTCGGCCATGAATAATGATCTAATAGCCGGCCATGAAAAAAAATACTACGAAATTCAGATTGATAACAGCTTGACCTTTAAAGATTTATTTGATAATAATGAAATTATTTGTGAAAAAAACGGTTACAATATTTGTTTTCTAACATTTTAAACTGATGGGATAAAATTAATGTAGAAACATAATTTCTTTCAACAACTTGAACCGAAAAGTTTTTATTTTTTATCATTATTTCATTTCATTTTTACTCTAATCATTTCTAATCATTTATTAAAGTCATTACAGTTTCATTACATAGTAATCATTACATACTATTGTATACATACTAGTCTACATGCTACTTTTCCCTTTTTCATTACATATTAATTTCATTACTGGTCGTATAACTCTAACCGTTCTGTATTTGGTTAAAAATTTGCCTCTAACTTTTCAAGTCAGCATTATATTTCTGGGCAATTTCTTATGCAGACAAATTTTTATGAAGACAAATGGTATTTGCTGTTCGATTTTATAAACTCAAGATTATGTCGCAACAAAATATTTTTCTCAGAATCATAAAAGAAGAGAAATGCATGCCTCTACTATCTGGAAATTTGGAAAAACAAGTCCATAAGTTACCATTCTAAGATGTCTGCTCTTAGAGAAGCGGGAAAAAAAATAATAATGGAATCGCGGGGGGGGGAGAAACAGGGAAAAAAATGCCCCGGAAGGGAAAGCATTGAAAAAAGTACTATATTAATTATTACAGAAATTTTAAGTCCGACTCGATTTAGACCGTTGAACTCGAGTTTATTGTAATTAAATAATTATTCGAGCCTAATAAGACATTTTTTAAACATAATTAAAATACAAAGTTTAATTGGAAGTTGATTGAAAGATGCTTTTAATATTTTATATATTTTTAATACAATTATATAACAGTATTGTTATAAGTAGTTTATCGATTCGTTGTAGTCTCTTTATCGTTTAATAAGTTAAAAATATTAACGGAAATGATAAAATATGTTTCAATTTGATACAATTTATTAAAAATAAGTAGGAGAAAAAGAATCTTTTTAAAAAAATTGTGTTGTAACCAGTCGGATATCCTTTTGTATCAATTATATTTTTAAAAAAAATATCTAATTGCATTTGAATAAATATTTAATTACATTAAACTGAATTGGTTGTTAAATTCGTATTATTACTAACCAGGTGCTCTTTTTACAGTTCACCTAAATGACAGCCAGCCATAAAATGCATACTTAAAAATAAATCTTAAGACGGAGGAAAGAAAAAATACCACATACACAAAGTACCTACATAGAAAGTAATAAAGAATGAAAAACTTACAAGATTCTCTTGCAAAGGTAAATTTGAGACAAAATAATATCCAAAAATTTTATATTTAAATTGTATTTAAAAGAAAAGCTTAAAATTAATAAAAATCTGCCCCGAAATAATCGCCAAATAAGGAAATCGTCGTTGCATGTCATTGTAGATGTTATTTTGACATCAGACAAGGTTTGTGTGTTTTCGTACGTAATGCCATTTTTGTTAGAAGTAGTTAAGCCACTTTGGAAGGTTTTCGAATAATAAAATATGTATTAGTTAACGTTTTACGATTATTAAATGGCGGATCTAACATTTATTTAAAAAAAAACTTATTTCATGTAATACAGTGTTGAGTCAATGCATCTAATAGAAATAATGAATACAAAACCATTTAAATTTAAAAAGAAAAAAGATTAAAAATAACTTTTCAGACCACTGTTATATATTCTCGTAAACGAAAAATGAAACATTTGACTAATTTTTATAGAGATAAAAATTTAAAAAATAAAATCTGTGAATGATGTTGCAATGGTATCCGAGAAGGATGATTAGTTCCAGGTTTTATCCCGAATCGAATCCGTAACTAAATCTCTGAGCGTATTAATAAAAAAAGATGGAAATACTTAAGGTAATAATTCTGATGCTATTTTTTTTATCGTGATGCAGCAAAATTGATTGAAAAGCAATCAGGGGGGGACGGGGGGAAAATGAGCAAGTAGTTGGTGGATCCTATAGTAAAACTAAAAGAAATTAAAGTAAGGGAGTAGAACAATCAAGCTATAAAATATATATATTTTGTAAGAAATCTAACAGGAACGAAAACATAATTATAGCTATTAATCGGACGAAATGGCTATAATTGTATTTCAAATTGAATGCCTTATTTACTAAAGGGAGAAAATAAATGGACTGACCGTAAAAGTTTTATTGCAAACAATAAAATATAGTTTTTATTTCTGAGCAATATTTTTCAACTAGTGTTCAGTTCTGTTGTGTTAGAATAACTATGAAATTGCTAGTTTCCTCTTCCCTGTGGTTTAATATTTTGAAGAGACAAAAGCTTGTTAGGTACGTTAATTAAATATTATGAAATCTTTCAAAAACTATTAATTGAAACCAGAATAGCCATAGAACGACATTATTAATAAAGGTAATATCTTAAGTTAATAACGTAATATCTTAGTATTATTGCAGTTAAAGAGATTTGGTTTCACAGATTAAGCGTCCGATTCTATTGCAATAGAGCTTAAAGCTTATCATTTTGTTCGGTTGCCATAGCAATTTATTCCATGAACTTGTTTTCACAATTCATATTTAATTTTTGGTAATTAAAAAAAATCTTAAATACTTTTTGCGAAAGAGATTATTCAACTTTTCGAGAAAAAATAATGAATTTTTACTGTCGACACTATAGCAAATTCGCACTATAGCAATAACTGGACCCGCCTTTTAATAGTAAGACTTATTTCTACAATATGGTTGAAAACCCGAGGTTTTAAATGTTCATAGGGACACCGCAATAGGAGAATATTTCAGAGCCCCGCAAATGTTTTTTGTTTAAACTAATTGAACTTAGCTCAGTTTTTTACAAAAATGATTATGCTTTTATTATAAAATTTTCGCGCGGGACTTAATTGTAAATTAAAAATTGTAAATTGTTTGTAAATTAATGTTTTTTGACTTGCATTTTATACAAGTATTCTAAAATATATTTTAGTGATCACAATAAACTTAGGTGGGATGTGTTTAAGAATTGATACTAGATACTTTCTCATTTATCATATAGATATTTTTCTGACGTAATTATATTAATTTAAAAATACCCATAAAAAGTAATCCATTTTAAAATCAAGGTGAAACACTTTAACGGAGGAAAATGCCAATCAAATTGTTATTATTTAAAGAAAAAATGGAAATTTTATAAATAAAATGCCTAATTTATTAAAAACGTTCCTTTTATTTCTTTTACATTTTTGTTAACTTATTTTCGTATCTGTTAAGGTGAAATTTTACAGTCGAAATTTTGACTATTTTTCGACAAAACAGTGTACTCAAATGTCTTATGCAGAGCACTATGTCTAATAATAATGACAATTACCTCATAATTGTTACACAAAGACATTTAAGTTGCTAAATCTTCATTTTTATCTCTAAATCGAATTTTTCGTTCATCAAAATTATCAACCACTTACTGACTAGCTAAATAACTGAACGCTCTGTGTCTGAAAACAATTTTTTCCTCATGCCTAGCATCGCTTTCGGGAATGAATCGTTGCTTAAAAATTTAACCACTTTCCGACTAAGTGTTTAAAATTTAACTGTATTTCTGAATTGGTGGAAATTACAAAGATAAATTGTTTTCTGAACAGCTATAAAAGAATTTTTCAATCTATTTCAAAACCTATCGGCACTTAATGCCCATCGAAAGTTCGACCTCTTTCCAACAAGCACTCATACTCAAATTTCAACTAGCGCCTGATGCTAATCCTATATTGTCCTTTAAGTGGTGCGGAAAAAAAACTGACAGCTATTTTATCATTCAATATGTCTACCCCTTTTCTACTTAAATTAACTGGCAGACATAAAACTAAAATAAAAATTTTGAAAACTATTTTTTTTAAATGTTTCAAATTGGAAAAAGAAATATTTTTGTCAGTTTTTAAACGGGTGTTAAATTTTAACCAACATAAAGCAGATTTTTAAGTCATAAACACTGAAAATATGCTTTTTGTTTTGCCCATTTGAAAAACGTAATTTTTAAAAATTAAAATTTTTTGTTTTTAAATGCAAATGAGATGTTTAAAACCCTGCTATTATCTTTACTCGTTTCTAGTAATTTAATGTTGCAGTCATTTCATCTTTGATTGTTAACCAATGAACATTTTTAACACTGTACGTTAACACCGCCGTTATATTTCCTCATCACTCTTCGTCGCAATGAGTCCCCTCAGTCACGTGCTTCCTTCCATTCGGCGAGAAAGAAGGTCCTCGTTTGACAGTTGAGATAAGTTCTCTTTTCTGGTAGATTCGTGTTTTGTTAAAAGCTTCAGATGCGTTATGATTTGCGCAGAAATAAAATAGAGGATCATTTTTCAAAAAAAATGTATAAAGTTTACAAAATTTTTTGTATTTTTGCAAAATTAAAAACATCTTAATTTTTTTTAAAAAATGGTGAAAACGTATCTTGTGATAACGTTTTACGGATATAGTTTTAAAAATGGTTTAAAATATTTATATCTTTCACATAATTTACACCAGCAAAGACATCCATATTTATAATGGAAGTTAAAAAAAGTAAAGTTTTTTCCAATTAAATTTTAGCATTTAACTTATTGGTTTTAACCTGAGTTAAATTTTTTTTTATAACAATTACATCTAATGACATTTTATATAATGGCAAAAAGAAATTACAAATTGGAAAAAAGAAACATAATACATATCATGTTTTAGAATTAATCTTAGGAAGTTTTTTTATTATAAAAAAAAACGCGTTTAAATATCAATCCAACATTGCAAACAATAGTATAACATCTGGGAAAACCATGAATATCTTTCCGTGTATTAAAAGTTTTTTAAAAACATTTATAAGAAAAGATTTTAGCTATGTCATACTACATTTTTGCTCTAAAATTAAAAAGAATTATATATTAATGTTGAATAATTTTATATAATTTTTACGTTATGGTTTAGTTGTGTTCGTATTCGTTTATGTTTACTTGTTAGATAGCTTTAAAAGTATAAACTTGGATTTTAAAATTGAATAATCGCGATTAATTTGATGTATTAAGGAAAGAAAGAACATTCTAAAAGTTCATTTATATAATAAATAAAACAATTGTAATTCAAAAAAGGGATAAATTAACTTATCCGAGAAAGGAATGAAGTTAAAAAAATTTCCGTGCAACAGAATGCGACCCTATTTAAAGATTTTTGCCTTTAAAATTCCAGAATTGATTGTCTTCCATTGAAATAACAAGGAGAAACAGAAGGTTGAAAATACTCTTTCTCGATTTGCTCTACAGTCACGTGATTTAACTATGACAAAATTTTGCATGATGTGCGCTATCTATTATATTTCACCTATATGTTTGAAACACATTGATTATCGTTGAGATATTTAAACAATGTTTTAACTTACTTCCACATTTTTAATTCACTTTGCTAACTGCAATTTTATAATATACAATTAAAAAATATAAACTCCTGACTAACATAATACATATTTAAGAGTTGCACAATTGACAACGAAGTAATTAGAATCGCTCTGAAAGTATAATTTTTTTACAAAAATTGTCAATTTCTTGCTAGCCACATTTCTATCAATTTAAATGGCAGAACTTTACATTGAGTCAGATCACATTCGGCAAGAAAGTGTCTCATGAAATTAGGGGGGAAAATGATATCTATTTTTAGAAAGGCCCGTATTGGGCACAACTGCGAGTAAAATCGGTGTTCTCCTATGCAGTAAGTAAAAACTATTTTAAGTTAAAACTTTAAAACTATTCTTTTAAAGCTATGAAGTGTATTTAAAAAAAACTATTGTCTTTTTACTTTCTTTTGGCTCTAATTAAATTATGAACATGAAATTACTTTATTCTCCCAGGAAGTTTTTCATCAGGAGAAACTTATAAATCACTAACTCTCATTTAAGGCTGTTTTTCAAAAGTTCTGCCGTCACATAAAAAATCGCTTTTATTTTAAACGAATAATATGTTATTTTCAGAACTGTTGTAAGTTTTCTATAGTTATTCGTGACTTCTAGTTCAAGTTAAGCGAATCTTTAGTTGGAGCCTTCTATGCTTATTCTAAAAAGGTCGAAAAACGTAAAATGAAAAGTGTTCGTAATCTAATTTCATAATATTAAAAAGTTATTCAAATGTTGCACTGTAGGAATTCATAAAATTGTGCAAAAATTGAAATTGCGAAAAATATGCTGTTGATTGATATTGATTCTGATTATTTTTATCTAGGTAAAAAAAAATTTCGCCAAATGGGCGAGTTTGAAAAAAGAACTTAATAACTTTTAAAATAGTATTTAATTTATTTGTTCGTTCTAAACCTCATGTAATTTTTTACGGCAAGATGATATTTATAGCCTAACATTATATCTTTACATCAAGTGTAAGGCACCTAAGCTATGGCTATTTTACTTTCCTTAGCAAAAGAGCTTTGAAACACTGCTAAACATTTAGAAAAAGGCTGTTACACAATTAACATTTTGTGTTGTTCGCACTCTTTGTGTTTTAATTTTCTACCAAAAGACAGATTTTCGAACTATAATAAGATATTTCATTCAGAAAACTCAAATATATATTTTTTTAAAATTGCACTAAGAACGTCTAAACTTTTTTAAATGTCACTAAGAAATAATCCTCTAAGTTCTCTAATTATGAAAAAAAAAGTTACCGTAATGAAAAAAATAATTCAAACTACTGTTTGCTTTTGAAAGCAAAGAGTACCTCTAAGGTTCAACTGAAAAACTGAATTCTACCTCTAAGATTCAATTTTAAAAAGAGGTGAGAGGTGCATTTTCTGAAATTCTGAGGAGGAGTACACTTTTTTCGATTTTTTATTGATATTTCTCACTTGATTCCATTTTTATTTTATTTAATTTTTATTCGAATTCCCATAAAATGCAAAAAAGTTAGGTAATATTGAGTAGCGCTGTTTCCAACCCTGAAAAAAATAATCAACATCTTAAGGAAAAAACATTTTTTCTCATCCAATTCCCATTTTTAGGCAATCGAATCAGACCGGGCGTATAAAGGGAGCCAATTAACAATCCAGCGATCTTTAACGACTCTTTTTTTAGGAGATTTTTCTCTTTGTTGGGTAGTTGGTCGCAATTATAATGTAACTAGGCCGGGATAGCCTGGTCGGTGGGGTGCCGGGCCCATGTGCAAGAGTTCGTGGGTTCGGTCCCCGCAGGTCGAAGACTCCCCTGTGGTGGTGACTGATGCACGTTAAATCTGTCGAGTATCAAAGTCCTCCCTGTTCCCATAACAAATCAATACCTCTAGGGGTACTGATACAGGAGTTTCCTTGTCTTCTGGATTGGTTCAAAATTACAAGGCTACGGCGTTGAACATTAGTAGTCGTGAACCCAAAAATTGGGTCGACTGTTCAACGGCGGTCATAAAATAAAATAAAATTATAATGTAAGATTTTATTTATTTCTTTTAAAATTTGATACCTAAATTAAAAAAAGTCGAGAATCAAATTTTTATTTATTTATTAAGAAAATGCAAAACAGGAGAGACGTGTGCTGAACGCCGCTAGATTGGAAAATCGCATGGTCTTCGGATATAAAAATATACAATACTGTATTAATCGAAGTGAAAAATAAACATTTAACATGTACTCGGTAAAAAATAATAGTACAAACTAGAAACTCTCTTGGGAATTGAAATTCTATAAACTTCTAGTACCGCTTCTTTTTTATGCAGACTTCATTACTGAAAAGAGACTGTGTCGGTATTAAAAAAAGAAATTCCGATTCCCAAGATATTTTCTATTAAGTACTGCAAGTTTTTACGCAAAAAAAAAACACAATTTTATATGTACCTTTATGTAATACTCATTTTTAGGTGCTTCAGCCATGCTCAACCTACGATTAGTAAAAGTTATTTTTTCAAGAATGGAACAGTGCCACTCTCATGCTTGACTATAGGGGAAGTTTTAGACAAAACTGCAGATGACTATGGAGATCATATTTTACATATTTCTCATCATCAAGGGATTTCTAAGAGCTATTTGAATGTCAGAAATGAGGTACAGTCACAGTTTCAATTTCATAACAGTCAATATTGAAGAAAGAAAAAAATTTTCTCGCCAATACAAACATTGCTTTTTAAGAACATTTTTCAATCGTGTTAAATAATGGGAAACTGCCCCTCTGCTCGCTTCACCAACCCCCACGATCGCTGAAATGTTTTATTTTCTTAATATTTCGACAATAAATGTACAATTGCATTAAAAATATATTCAATGGGAAGATCCCATTAAGTTCCATGACATTAATACAGATTTATTTTTTGATTTTATTGGGAGAAAATGTGTACCTAATTCATTTCTTTGATTATATACCATTGCAACTTATTCTAAAAAAATTTATTGCGAAAGTGATAAGGGTGGAATTTGTAGGTGTTACAAATACTTACAAATTGAAAGATAACTTTGCAAATGGGAGAAGTTTGAAATTAAATTTGTTAGATTAAGACAGTGACTCCTTTGCTAAATCAACCATTTATATCTATCACCCTTCTTACAACTTAGCTAAATTACACATCACCGTTTACGTTTCGTTCAGACAATTCCGGCTCATTAAACTCTAGATTCATCTCAACATAAATTCTAATTTTGAATAACTTACTAATTGTAGCTGAAGAATAAATTAGTACCCAATCTGTGTTTTAATAACTATAGTTTCATTTAAAAAAGTAAATAATAGTTGTCTCACTTTATACCGCTCTTAGCCATGACTGAAACGCTACGCATAAAGTGTGTTTATCTATCCAGAAATCAAATCGACAAAAGAATTGTTTTTTAATGACGTAGTTTAAAAATGAGTAAATTTGTCACGGAATACAAGAGTGAAGATCAAGGGGAAAGAACGGTTGTAATTCGTGAGAAAAAACGAATTTCATGGCGAAGAATCGTTTTTCCCTTCGCTATGTAATAAGCCTCGAGGAGAACCGATTTTCCACAATATTAATTTTTCATCTCAAAACGATACAGATTGCAATCCGGTTGACATTTTTGCGAAAAATTGTCATAAGCATTTCTCCTACCCCTTCATCTTCAAATAGTTTAATTATATAAAGATGTGTTGGAACAAGCATGCTCAGAAAATAAGTGAATTAACTATTGTGTCATCAATAAATTTACTGTTGTTTTTTACCTTATTAGGCCGAAAAGTTAGCTTCTGGTCTGATAGCGTGTGGTCTGCGCAAAGGTGATAGACTGGGTATTTATAGCCCGAACTGTATAGAGTGGCCAATAGCTCAATATGCTGCAGCTAAAGCTGGTTTAATAGCGGTAAGAAGCCCTTCAGCAATTTTCATTTTCTTGTAAACCTTACTGTACTTTTGAAAGACAAAACCGTTATCGAAATTCAATGAATCACTGCTAAGGACCATGGAACTGAAAACATCCAAACCTGCTTGATTGTTACAGGAAATAGAGAGGAGTAGAATGGCAATCCAAAGAATCATTTCCAAATGACGAAGGTTTTAAGGATTTCAGTACCACTTTCCTCAGTAGTCATTCGTTGAAATTATCAAAAGCCTTTTTTTTTGTTGCTTATTTTAATAATAAGTTGCAATCCCTAATCAATACACTTTATTTTACTTCATTTGTAACAAGAATTTCTAAAATTTATCACAGTCATTAACACAGGACCCTCTTTCTCATGGCTTTGTTCATTTTGCATTACTGACTAGTTTAATTAATGCTATAAATACTGTAGAAATAGGCTTCTTCTGGCTTATCCAAAAGAATTTCATAAAGAAATGGTACTAATTTCTTTAGGGGAAAAAATCAAAAAATTTTAATACTATTTTTGACAAAAAATCATAATTTATTTATATCAATTTAGGTACTAAATGAAAAAATAAATAAACTAGTTAAATGTAAAAAAAATAGCCATTCTGGTGATTATTATTATTTTTTATAACAGATAGATTGATTGAAATTAAAAAAAAATAAGTTTGTACTTTTTAGTAATGGAATGTTGATGGAGAAATGGTTTCAATTTGTTTAGGAGAACTTTTAAAATTTGCCATGCTATTACTGACGGCAGTGATGTTTAAGTAAATTTGATAATAGGCACTGCTGCCATTATGGTAATAACTATTATTGCAGTAACATTGTGAAATTTTAATATAGATATCGTGAAAGGTTTTTCACGACTCCTCGAAAGGTTAATTATGTTGTTAATTATGAAAATTGTTCATTATGTGAATTTTTGACTATCAGAATTCCACCTCGAGCAATAGCATTATAACAAATAATACTGAATATAGTTAATTATTCATTTCGATAGGATGAACTTCTATAAAAATGATTTGCTTAATTTGATAACATAAAACCGCAGGTAAGGGCAACAAATAGTTAGAGAAGAAAATATTGAAATTGTTTTTGCTGAATTATTAGTGCCTTTTAGTTAAATGCATGTTTTCGAAGTGTTTATCAGTTCCGAGTGGTTGATTACTTATTTTTTTCACACTGTACAAAGAACGGGTATTCATATTGTTTAAAATAGTAATAATAGCGAGATATATTTGAATAACTCACTATTTCTTTAATTTCAACGAAAGGAAAATGATCTCGTTGCTGAACGTTAATATAAGAAACTAGTGGGCTGCGCCCCCTGCTCGCTAACGCTCGCCAACCCCCGCAGACCAAGTTCGCTTCGCTTGCTACTAACTTAGGTACATTGCAAATACACAAAATTCTAAGAATTTAAAACAATCACTCAAATCCATATAACAACTTTTTAAAAAAAAAAATTACATCTTTTTAATAAATACTAAGTCATTAAAATAAATTTGAATTCAAATAAATGACATGTAATTCGTTAAACCTATTAGAAATGTGCCACAGTATAAAATCTTAAAGCGTAACAGCACGACTGAGACTCATTTTTCAATGAATAACTAATAACAATAATAAAACAAATAAATTCGTGATATAAATCAAAAAGCGTCAAATAAATTCATAATATATAAAATTCGTGAAGAAAAGCTCTTTCGACAAAATACTAAAATAGAGATCTATCGACAAAGACTACTCACTTCTGCCTAGCTTAAGATTATTTCCGTTTCCGTTTTTAAAAGCACTATACGTTGAGCCACCTCAGCTATATTTGGCATGTGACATTTTTAGCGGCAATCATTGGTCTATTTTCTATCGTTGCCATTCGGGGAGTTGTAATGAGGCTTTTTATTGTCGCCGTGTAAGAGAAATATATATATATATATAATTTGCAGAGTGGTAATTATGGTTAAATATGAAATCAGATAGGAATGTTACATCTGTNATTTTTTATAACAGATAGATTGATTGAAATTAAAAAAAAATAAGTTTGTACTTTTTAGTAATGGAATGTTGATGGAGAAATGGTTTCAATTTGTTTAGGAGAAACTTTTAAAATTTGCCATGCTATTACTGACGGCAGTGATGTTTAAGTAAATTTGATAATAGGCACTGCTGCCATTATGGTAATAACTATTATTGCAGTAACATTGTGAAATTTTAATACAGATATCGTGAAAGGTTTTTCACGGCTCCTCGAAAGGTTAATTATGTTGTTAATTTTGAAAATTGTTCATTATGTGAATTTTTAACTATCAGAATTCCACCTCGAGCAATAACATTATAATAAATAATACTGAATATAGTTAATTATTTATTTCGATAGGATGAACTTCTACAGAAATGTTTTGTATAATTTGATAACATAAAACCACAAGTAAGGGCAACACATAGTTAGAGAAGAAAATATTGAAATTGTTTTTGCTGAATTATTAGTGCCTTTTAGTTTAATGCATCATTTCGAAGTGTTTATCAGTTCCGAATGGTTGATTACTTATTTTTTTCACACCGTACAAAGAACGGGTATTCATATTGTTTAAAATAGTAATAATAACGAGATATATTTGAATAACTCCCTATAACTTTAATTTCAACGAAAGTAAAATAATCTCGTTTCTGAACGTTAATATAAACTAAACTCAGTTGCGAGACAGCCCATAGAGGGACAAGGCCTACTGTGCCCATCTCAGTTTTCTTGACCTTGGGCTCTGGGGTGCAGGAGCAGATGTTCCGATCAGGTGGTCAGTTGGACGCAGAACCCCCAGTGTTTAGTTCCCAAGCATTCTTGGTACTCATTTATCTACCCACTGAAGGGACCCGAGGATCGAACCAGGTACCTGCGGCACGACAGCGTGAACGTTATATGAGAAATGTAAAATTATCTCGTCATTGGACATTATTCCCAATAAAAGTAAAAATAGTGTCAATAAAAATCAAATTATCTCACTTCAATTTAAACAAAAGTAATATTTCAAGTTCTGAATTTCAAAAATATGGCTTTAAAGCACAGCCCTCTGTTCTTTTTATTTTAAAATCCTTTAAGAGGTATCTTCAACACTAACATAATCCAAATATGGTGTGGACGCATAATTATTCTCATTTCATTTGATATAGTATGTTATAGTATTTATTATAATCATGAAGAGAAGGTATAACTAACATTATTTTAGGTTGCAATAAATTACGCATGTCAGCCATCTGAATTGGAATACTGTCTAAAAAAGGTAAGCATTAAACATTCGACACTGAACATCTTTTCCTGACTGAAGTTTATTCTAATAAATTGTTATAATTGTTAGACTAGCTGCAAAGCAGTTGTGTCTTACGACAAACTGAAGCACCAGAATTATTATGATGTATTTAAGGCAATCATACCTAATTTGGAAAACAGTGACCCTATGAATCTCCAAAGTGAAAAGTAAGTTGTTTTAAGTGATTCTAATTAAATTATTACGCTTTGAACTCATAACTGATAATGTTTTACGTTGCCTTCTAGGTTACCGAATTTGAAATTTATAATCATGCTTTCTGACGACACTAAAGAGTAAGATAGTTTCAGCATTGGAAGATCAAGGGAGAAGGACCGTTTTGTTCATTTTTCGCAAAAACAACTATTGCCAACTTTGAGGGTTATTTAGTTTTAACAAATCAAAAAAGTGAAAAAATCCTCGTGAGTTTTTGTATATTGAAGATTGGCATTGATGGGAAAAAAGCGGTTATGCTTGAAATTCGCTTTTATGGACATAAACCGTTCTTCTCTTTTGATCTTCCTTTCTTCATTTAAAACATTGATAACATTCGAAACATTCATTTAAAACATCTATTACTGTATCAATATAGCCAAAGCAAAATATATCATTACAATTGTGTGAAACTAAAACAGAACACATTAAGTAAAAGATATATTTTAAATAAAACATATCAAGCGAAAAATAGAAAATAAAATGTAATAAAAATATAGATAGCACCTTGGCGATAATTATTTATTGTCAGACTAACTACCATGGAAATATCATTTCAACAATTAATTATTTAATTATCTATTTCGCGCATACTTAATAAAACGATATAATGGTTATTTTTTTAAAGAAGATGTTCTTCTTTTATTTATTCTTTTTAATTGTAATTCTAGTACTCACAGTTCCCAGAAAAAAAGTGCTACAACACTTTTTTTTTCACATTACATTCAGTAAATAGTTTAGTAGACATTGCCTTAAAATTTACTTTTTTTTCTTTTCTTTTCGCTCGGTGGCTGAGCGGTAGCGCTGTCGTGGCACAGGTCCCTGGTTCGATCCTTGAGACGGGCAAGGTTGACTCCGCCTTTCATCCCTTCAGTGGGTCGATAAAATGAGTACCAAGCGTGATTGGGAGCTAAACACTGGGGGTTCCGGGTTGGGCTGACCACCCAACCGGAGCATCTGCTCTTGCACCTCAGAGCCCAAAGGTCAAGAGAACTGAGATGGGCTCAGTAGGCCTTGGCCCTCTATGGGATGTCGAGCCACTGAGTTTAGTTTCCTAGCATAATTAACAATATTTTCTGTTCATAAATTGAGATTTTGTAGTTGAAAAAAAAAATGTTTTAAAAAAATGCTTTAATGAGAAATTTATTTGATAATGTTTAAAATGGTTTCTAGATATTTGAAATTAACAAACAAAAAGTAGCTGAAAACTTGAGGATTAGATAATTGTGGATAAAGATGTCACTTTTTTGCCCTCTTAATCGATTTTTCTTTTATTAAAAAAAAGAAAGAAAAAACATATCAAGATAATACTTGAACTGTAATTATTTTGAATGGTCTTTAAAAAAAATATGGTGAAAAAATCTGAAACGTATTTTTTTTTTTTTTTTTGTCGTTGACAGCAACACTATATGAAAACAAAAAATTACGGAAATTTTACAACTAGAATCACGAATTCGGAGCAACAAGAAAACTGAAATAAAATGAAAGTATTCATTTTTATTATTTTTCCTTGAGTGAGCATAAACTCCAGACATTTGACAGCTTCAGCACTCTTTCTTAATATTTCTTCGTAAAAGCCCGTTGATGCAAAAAAAAAAAAAAAAAAAAAAAAAAAAAAAAAAAAAAAAAAAAAAAAAAAAAAAAAANAAAAAAAAAAAATTTAGTTTAGATAAAAAAGAAAAAAACAAATAGGTTGTATAGTTAACACTCCCTTGCTGTGAAAAAGTTTATAAAATTTGAGTAAATGAGTTTTACTGAACTTTAAATCATTATTTCCTTTTATATTGAAAATTATAGCTGAATATCCGTTCCTAGTACAGTATATGAAAAATAAAACAATCAATAGAAAACTGTAAACATCACTACGAAATCATATAACTGACAGACGTATACCAACGTCATTAATTCCATAATTCTATTTTTAATTTATTACTTTATTTTCATTGACGGTGACTTTACGTTATAAGATTAAGCAGAACACATTTTTAGCAATACATCCCATCAAAATAAAGATTAATTGTATTCAGTATCATTTGGCACGATACTGTTGCTTAGGCGAACTCGTGATAAGTCAAAATTTACCACAATCAAGTGGTTTTCTCTGTTACCTTTTCCTTTTCGACGGCCCGTAAAAGTATCTTACCTCGGTATCTGTATGAAAACAGCACACTATTAATGCAGTTTTAATAGGTGCCAAGTACACAAATTGCTTTTGCGTTTGGAACCGAGTACAATATTACAATTGCCATAATACCAAATTTATGACGATTAAACAGCATGGCAAAACGTTTCTCCTAAACGCAAATTACTACCATTTCTCCATTAGCTTAGCTTTTTAGCATTTAACTTCGCTGTACTTAACTTATTCTTTATTCCAATTAGTACCAATTACCAAAATTAATTTAGCATTGCTGGAGAGGCGATTTTTTACGGTTCCTTTAAATAAGTACATTTTCACCGTTACTTTTGCCTCTCAGTACATAGCTTATTTTTTTCATTTCAATTAGTATTAATTAGCAAAATTAAATAAACATCATTGAAATCAATAATAGTATGTCGAATTTTTTCCCTAAACATTTAGTACCAATGATTTTGCTTTTTCGAATTTAAAAGTATAACTTTAAATAAAATAAACACGTATTGTAAAAAAGTTTCGGAATACTAATTTGATTACATAGTCCGCCTATGCTATCACGTTCATGTTTATTGCTGGTCAATGGATCGATCATGTTGATCGATCGCACCAATAACTCCTTTTCTATTAATGAGATTTATAAGAGAGCAATCGTCACTGATGTTATCTTTGAAATATTTGAAAAAGCAGAACCATGTATAATAGTTTAACTTTTGTTCATGAACGATAATGATGCTTAAATATTTCTCAGTGTTTTTTATTAATGGCCTGTTCTAAATGAACATGAAAATTCCATTTTTTAAACGATTCTCCTGAGCAATCTATTGAAATTGTTTGATCTGATTGGAATTTTTTCAGGTCTTTTCGATTCAAAGTTACCTCTTCGGTGTCCCCTGCTGGTTTCAATTTTCGTATTTCCGAGCAGATTGTAGGTGGAATCGAGATTTTTGACGTTCACTACTCAGAACAACTATATTACATGTTTTATCATTAGTTCAAACATTTACATAATTTATTTAAAACTTAAAAAACTGTACTGAACTTCGATAAACAAAGCATCCACGAATGTGAAATGATAATATACTTTGATTGTAAACAAACAAAACCGTGTTTAAACTCTTCTAGTTGTAGATAATTTTATAATATCACTAAGGAAAATTCCATTTACACATTCAATGAACATGAGCAAAGAATCCAAGATGTCTGATGGTTGTGTATCAGTGGTCTTCTTCTCGCGTTGAGGGTATCTCATTCTCTAAGACAGTTTTTCATTCGGTGTTTCTAAACATCCTTATAGCAAATGACAAAACGGATACAGTATTTAAAATTCACAATTTTTTAAGGAAAATGAATTGATTTTATCATTTTTGATGTTGTTTTTTGAAAATGTTTTACTTATTTCAGAGGAATAATTCGATATAAGGACGTCATGAACATGGGAAACAAAGAAAGTGATACCATTTTAGAAGAGGTCAAAAAACATCTGAAATTCGATGATCTTCTAAACATTCAGTACACATCAGTAAGTTAAATGATGCACTTGTAAAAGTTTTCATATAGTGATATCAGTACTGTAAGCATAATTTTTTCATACTTTTAGTAAAGTTGCAAATGTACTTACAATTGAGGCTTTAATCACCTTTACAGAAACAAGACTTTTTCGAATCTTTATCGAAATAAAGTTGGAGAAATTAATAATATCAAAGGTTTCATTATTCATTCACAATATTTTTAAGCTTCTTTTAATAAAGCATCTTGTTTTTAAATTCACGGCAATGTACTTAAGGGTATTTATTTTCTTCGCCAAATCTAGTGTTATACGCTTTAATAGTGTCTTACACTCGAAGCAAGTATTTCGACTGTATATTTTGCTGAAAAGAGTTTTCTAAGATTTATAACGAACAAATATTTTATATATATTTTTAAAATATTTATGAAGTTTTCTAACAATCACACATTTGGAGAGATTTTTCCCCTTAAATGAAAATCAATAAAATCAACGAGCAATTCTCAATATGTGCATATTTTTTAGCATATACAATGCAGCGCTGGAATAACTTTTCCAGTATTAAAAAATTTAGATATTGTGAAGTTGGAAATATTGAAAAATTAGATTCAAATGCTTTTCATTTTCACTAAACTGCAGACAAAAAGCTTAGAAATTTAAGGAATAATAAACTTTTTAAAAAAAAGCCAATTTAGCGAGATTTTTCCACCTACATAAATATCAAATTTTATCACTCAACCCTGTCCCGCCCCCGCCAGTGGGCATCCAGGGAACAAAAATAAAATTAGGATTAAAAAAAATATTTATCCCTGGGATTAAAAAAAAAATGAATTTTTTTTAAATATCAAATAATTGAGCAGAGCTTCCCACTCCACGCTATTACAGATACTCTTTCATAAATTGGCTACTTTCACACATCACAACAGAGAGAAACATCAATGCACTGAACAGGATGCGAACCCGCAACCATTGACTTCGGAATCAGGCTTACCGCTCGGCCACCTGACCAGCTTTTTCAAATGTTATATAGTGTTATTTTTTATAACTAGAAGGCTTCTCCCCCTGCTCGCTGACGCTTCCCAACCACGGGAACGGCTTTCGCTGTTCCCTTCGGATGGCTAATTGCTTTGCTTCGGACTAATTGCCTTGCTTGCTCGCTCATTGGCTAAGTTGCTTCTCTCCAGCTTTGTATACATTTTGAAAACTTTAGTTTAGAATAAATAGTTCATAAAACTTTTTAAAACCACGTACATATAAGCGTTTTATATGATATTTTACTGGTTTGCTTTACGTTTATGCCGACGCGTGGAAAAAAAATCTTTATAACCACAAAATCTTTATAATCTAATTTTATAACCACATACGTATATGCGTTTTATATAACTCTTAATGGGTTTTTTTTTCTTATGCCAACGCGTGAGAAAAAAATTTTTTTATCAATTTTATAATCACGTACGTTTAAGCGTTTTATGAAATACTAGCGGCATCCGGCGACCAGCTGGTAGAACCTTTTTAAATAAGTATATTTCCGTGTATTTCAAAATTCAAAAGCGAACTGTCAAAAATAAAAACAATTGCTCAAGTGAGAGTGAATTTAATTTCAGTATCTTACATTGCTCGTATGATATCATGGTGAATTTGTTTTTAAAATGTTTAGCACAACATGTGTAGCACAACATTTTTCAATGTTTGCTAACGCTGTTTGCTTTAGAAAAAAATGCTAATTGTAAGAAGGGCACCTTTGGATTGTAAATCAAATTAGCAGCTTTATCAAAGTCAATCTGTGCCCTTTTTTGCTACTATTTATTATGCTAGCCAATTAATTTGATTTGGGTTTTTTAGGCAAATCGAAGCAAACTTTGTTATAAGTAAGTTCAAAAAAATACACAAATCTGAAAAAGAAAACAATGCATTTTAAACCAAAAAGTAAACTTTAAAAAATAATTTAATTTAATAGCAATGTCAAGAACTATAACATCGGTAGCATAAATAAACAAATGAGTATTTACGTTAAGAAGTTAAAATGAGTCTTGACATTTATCTGACTCGTTTAATCGGTAGTTAAAATGGAATTAAGCTTGCGAAGTTTTATATAAAATAGATCGACATGTCATTTTCAAACTCATTAATAGAGGTCACTGTCTATAAATGAACAAAATTTAACCTAATAGTTATGAATAACAGTAATTGTTACTAGGACACAACAGTCAAAATAGCATATCATTCGCTTAAAAAGTATTATTTCCTAGGACGACAGTACAGCTTTAATTTGGGTTTTACTATAAGAAAAATATTTACGTATTTACAATTTCATGTGTTTTAACCTCTTTTCAGGACAATTTATAAATCAGATTTTTTATTGGTTTATTTAGGGAACTACCGGTGCACCAAAAGCGGCTGGGCTTTCTCATCATAATATTGTCACCGGCGCCGTCTCTTCCTTACAAGCAATGGAATATAGTGCGGAGGTAATAAATATTTATTTTATTCGGAAACTTAGTTATATTAAATTTGCTTACATTTTTTTTTTTCGTGAGATTGGTTTGAATTGTTAGTGATAGACAGTTTTCTTAATATATGTTTTAATCTTTTTAAGGTTTTTACAAGCAATTAACTACAAAACTAGCGAAATGTTTAGTATTTTTTTAGCAATTTAAATTTTCAAAAATAAATAAATTCCATAAAATTCCTTCGTTTTGACTCGTTTAATAAAATAGAACTGAAAAAATTATCAAATTACATAAAAAATTTGTAGAAATCAGTATTTAATTATAAATGAACAAAATAAGTTTGGAACTTTTTTCTTCTTTATTTATAGTTTCATAAAGTTAAAAAATTATAATTCTACCATTTTTGTCATTATCTAACTTTTCCAATGACTTACGTTTTAATAATAATCTAAATGAGAAATATCTGCACACTCTACAATGACGGAAGAGTGACAATGTTTTTTTATTTCTCAAGGGATTATAGGATCCCTCCTATTATTTAAAGGATCAACTTAAAAGATTATCTTGTAACTTTGGAGTTGTTTGGATCATGCCATTTTTCATACTTAGTACTAAGGTTTAAAGCTTTCAGAGGTTTGAGGAACAGACAATAAATTACGAAAGAAAAGAAATAGTTTTACACACTCTATGCCAGAAAATCAAGCTATAAGCTTGTATCAATTACTACGATTATTATTTGCAATAACTGCATAAAATTTTGTAAACCTAGTTTAAATATTTATGGAAATATAGTCATTTTTATAAAAAAAACTGATTTTTGTTGCCTTATTTACTTACGACTTTAAAAATATTCAATAAATTAAGCATAATGTTTGGAGCTATTATAAGAGTACTAGTGGGCTGCGCCCCCTGCTCGCTGACGCTCGCCGACCCCCGAAAATTGCTAAGCAATCTTATATGGTTTGCTTCGCTCGCTACTAACTTAGTTACATTGCAAATGCACAAAATTCTAAGAATTCAAAACAATCATTCAAATCCATATAGCAACTTTTTAAAAAAAAAAATTGCATATTTTTGGTAAATACCAAGTCATTAAAATAAATTTGAATTCAAATAAATGACATGTAATTCGTTAAACCTATTAGAAGTGTGCTATAGTATAAAATCATAAAGCGTAACAGCACGACTGAGACTCATTTTTCAGTGAATAACTAATAACAATAATAAAACAAATAAATTCGTGATATAAATCAAAAAGCGTCAAATAAATTCATAATATATAAATTCGTGAAAAAAAAAGCGCTGTCGGCAAAATACTAAAATAGAGATCTATCGACAAAGACTACTCACTTCTGCCTAGCTTAATAGTATGAGATTGCCGCAGCTGATGCTCTCTCAGGTTATTTCAGCTTCCGTTTTTAAAAGCGCTACATGTTGAGCCACCTCAGCTAGATTTGGTATGTGACATTTTTAGCGGCAATCATTGGTCGATTTTCTAGCGTTGGCATTCGGGAAGTTGTAATGAGGCTTTCTTGGTCGCCGTGTAAGAGAAATATATATATAGATTGTTTTAAAATTTGAAAACAATTCGTTAGAAATTGTGCAAGATATGAGCATTTAAAGTAGTTCTTTTATACTAAACACATGCGGGGGGAAAATCATAATTTTGATTTCATAATTTTTTAAATTTTCATAAGTATTTGACAACTAATGAAAAAAGTCTGATTTGAATACCATGAAAATTTAGAAAGTTTCAAGCAATTTTCGAAGTAGTTTTTGTACTTTTTAAAGGAAAGCTCAAAATGATCAGGGGTTATACACAAATTTAATTTTGTATAATTGGAAATTACACTACCCTATAATAACTGGAAAGCAAGATGTAATTGTATAAAGTAAGAAAACATTTGAAGTATAACATACTTAAAAAAGAAGTTGGCACTCCACGCTCTGCACTGACACTATTAACCCTTCTAGGTATGCTTCTGACAAAATTATGATATACAGCTGTAGGTATTTGCTTCCATTCCTGCAACAAGAATTTGGCCAGCCATTATAGATTTTGGACGCAGTTCCTTGGCCTGTAAACGTCGCCTCTACTTCGTACCGCAAATGTTCCGTACCGTTTAGATCGGGATTCTAAGCAGGCCAGAGAAGATGTTTTACATCAATATCAAGATACCACTCCATGATATGACCCGGACAGTAGCTATCCTGAAAGTAACTTTCGTCTATTCTGTAAAGTTGCCTGAGCGTAGGTAGAACCTTATTGTCCAGAATATCCCTGTCGGCATCCACGCTCAACCTACCAGAAATAGAATGCAATAGTTAGAGATCATACCACGAAGAACATCCACAAGCAAGCTCACCACAATCACCGAACTTTTTTTTTTCAAATGGCAGGCACTGAACATTATTCTTCGCCTAAGAAGATGCTGGAATTGGGGCACCTGTGAACCAAAGTCACGGAGGCGAGCAACATTAACCACGCCACACTGCCACAAACCCGTTTATAGGGTGGGCCACATTCACACATCACACACAACAGAGGACAACACATAGAGAGAGAAACATCCAGGCCCAGAGCTGGATTCGAACCCGCAGCCATTGGCTTTGCAGTCAGGAGCGCTAACCGCTCTGCCACCTGGCCGGCACAATCACCGAACTTGACAGTTGGAATTATACCCTCATGTAAAAAGCGTTTACCTGGCATTCGCCATATCCAAACTCGCCTAACCGACTGGAAGAACTTGTAGCGAAACTCATCGCTCCATAAAAGTTTTTCAATGGTCTACAGTCCAGTGGACTACAGACCAGTGGCGACGTTTTCTTCACCAAGCAAGTCTAGCTGCATTGTTGGTCGGAGTGATATTGGCCTTGTGTGCTGCAACGCTTCCACGGATATTGAGGGTATGCAGCTCCTTACGCAAAATACAGTTGTGCGCAGTAACGTCTGTTGTCAGTTGAAACTCATTGTTGATATCTCAAAACCACTAAGTCTGCTGTCTCTGAGACATATTATCACAGCTTCAAACAGAACTAATGACTTGACTACTTCACATATCGTATTTATATTTAATACAGAGATGACGTGTGCACATTGAATTTGAAAAAATATTGAATGCAGATGGATTTTATGTAAATTCACTTACGTATTAGCTGTTGTTATCATTGTCATCTTTAATATATCTTACTTCATAATACAAAATGAAATTTATGGAAAACCCCTTATTGTTTTGAGCATTCTTTTAAAAAGTACAAAACCTACTTAGAAATTTGCTGGAAACTTTTTAAGTTTTCAAGATTTCAAATCAGACTTTTTTCATTAGTTACCACCCAATAAAATTATGGAAATTTTTTTTGTTGTTTTTTTCGGGAATGCGCAGTATAAAAGAACTGCTTTAAATACTCATATCTTGCGCAGTTTTAAATGTAAAATGTCACATCCAGTTAAAAGTTCATGACATTATAAGTATTTCTTATAGTTAGGATGAGCTTGACCCCTGCAATTTAATGGGTTTCCTAGCCGCCTTACTTGAAACGTTGCTCCCGCTGATGTCATCTTTTTCTTGCACTTAATAATTTCTATCAAAGAACATAATTTCGAGACAGTTGATAAAGCTAAAGTAGTCGAAGCTATAAATGACATTTCAAAAAGTGCTTCAACGTTTGAAAATTGTTTTTGAAGCTATGTATCAATGAAGAAGGAACTTTTATTTTGAATCCTTTTAATGCGTCGTCAGATCTATAGAATTTCTAAATCATCTTTGCATTGGCGTGAGTATAGAAGAAGTAAGCAACTTTAAAAGATGTTCGTTCTCGGAAGAAAAAGAAATCTCTTGTAGGATTTTCACAATTCTTTTGTACAATTCCTTTTTTAAATAATTAGTTGATTAACTCGTTCTTTTATTTTTTTTTAAAAAAAAGGCTGAGTATACCATTAAAGTGATAAAAAAATCTTTAAATGAATAAAAAAACTTTAAATATATGAAAATTAGTGTTGAAACCACATCAATGGATATCAACAAATAACTTCTTTCCTTTAAAGGAACATAGTATTGGATGCTGTCAAGTACCTTTATTTCATCTTTTTGGTGTCATGTTTGGAATATTCTGGCCTTTGTTTAAAAAACAAACGATAGTTCTACCTAGTTCGGTGCATGACGGGGAAAAAAATCTAGAGGCCATAGAAAAATATAGGTAAATCACTTTTGTCTTTATGTGAAAAAGAATAAACTAAGAGGCGAAATAATCTTGTTTTAAATTCGATAATAAAGTATTTATAATTTGGGAGAAAGATGCCAATGGTAGTTATTCCTCTGTGAGAAAAATTTATTAATATTTTCTCTATCTCTCTGTATTAAAAAAATTGCTAGAGACTCTAAAAAATCACTCCGTGGCTAGGTTCTGCGTAATCTGTCTTAAGAAAGTAAAGCTAGTTGGTTTGCTATGTTCACACAAAGTTACGTGCAAGTTAATGCGACAGCGCAATGCGGAACGGTTTTTTGATCATTTGATCCCTGGTATGAAAAATGGCTCCTCCATTATAAACCAAAAAGATAAAGACATTCTCTCCTAATTAATTACTACGAAGGTTTGCATCCCGCTTATGTGTGTTTGATATTATGTGTGTTGTGAAAAGTTAAAACCTGAAAAGCAAACCTCTACTGCACATACAATTGGACCGACATTCTTTAATTCAATACAATGCATATAATACATTCCTTGACTCTCGAAAGTGCCCAGTGATTGTCAATAGAAAAGTCGCTATTTTGTGATACGATAACACAGGACCCCAGACTGCGAGACAGTCAGGTTCAATTTTCTCAAAAACGGCCGTTGTAAGTGTTTTATAGGTATTTGAGGTAACATGTGGCCAAATGAGTTACTTTTATTGATTCGAACCTGCTGAATACGAATTTTATGTTCGCACTCTCAAATCTTGACCGGAAGCTCAGAATTCAAGACGACGGACAATATGGTGATTATTTTTATCATAGGAAGAGTAATCTAATAATTAAAATTATCTTCGGACATATTTTCAGTTTTAAAAGCCTTTTCTAATGATTGAATAAACAAATTAAACGCTTCCATTCTTGAAGGATCAGGAATAGTAAGAGTTTTCACACTGCTAATTAAATTTTCAATGCTGGAAGAATCAAAATTTAGTTTTTTAATTACCTCTAGCGTTAGTTAACTCAAGCTCTTTATTAAGCTGCTCTAGCATAATTTTCTCATATTCCAATTTCAATTTATCTTGTTCAATATTATATTTTTTCCTGTTCACTTTTTTCTTTCTTTTGATCTAAAACACAATTTATTACACTTCGAAAAAATTCTTTATCAGATTTAAAAATGCCACTACTCTCAAATTATTGTTTTTAAATCGATAATTTTCGGATTCTTGGGCATTTGCAATCCTAACTCTTCAGTGACCAGTAAAAGCTCGTCTTTTTTTAAGACTTGTAAGCATCGTCAAAATTATGTTAATTGAAACAAGGGAATTATTCTCACCTTTAGACTGGACTCTTGACACAATATTCCAAACAGAACTCTATTTTTGTTTTCAGTTGCATTGCTCACAAGAAATGCTTTTCGCTCACGGTCGCATGGATCATGTTTTTTTCTCTCACGCACAGCAAACGTCCATAGCTCATATTTCATTAACCACAAGGACTCAAACTCTACTCTGTTGCGATTACACGACGGCCCGATCGTAGCACAAGCACAACACTGACCCTACTCATTTTTTCTCTGTACTCTGGTTACGAAAAACATACCTAGATGGCGGTGGCATTTGCTTAGAACAGTGCCAATATTGAAATTCGCGTTTAAAATGTAAAAAGACCAAATATTACCCAAAACTCTTCTAGCACCAACATTTGTCGAAAATTATAAGGTAAACTGTGGGGAAACTAATGAATTTGAGTGGGAGATAGAAGTATGGTTTTATCTATCATACTCACTCGATATTGAGCTATCGAATTTCCAATTTTTCAATCCCTTCAACATTTTCTAAGCGGCAAAAAAAGCGTGAAAATTTGGATGATATGCAAAATGCTACCTCTGGATGTTTTAATCAAAAACTAATTTATTTTTATCGATCCGGCATGGAAAATTTGATAGCGAATTGGAACATATCATTGATTAAACATGAAAGCTTGTGAAAAATCTGTTTGAATTTAATGTAAAAACTCAATATTTTCCGGTAACCGAAATATAATCGTCTTCAGCTAAAATGCAACATTTCGTAATGTAACCTATGAAAAAATTTGCTTTTCACGCCTTTCGCTCCAACGGTTCTGATTGGAATTTTTAAATTATTTTTAGGATCACGAGCTTTTAATATCCACTGTACAAATTTCAGGCACAAACTGTTCTAGAAGTATGAAAGAGACAAAAGCACAAACTATTATTATACAGTAGCTGAATAACCCTCTTTGTACGGTGTGTAAAAGAAAATCAATAATCAATCAATCAGAAATAATCAACATTGCGGAATCGTCTCCAAAACTAAGAATTACCTAAAACAATTAGGGCCGGGCTAGCCTGGTTGGTAAGGCGCTGGGCCCATGTCCAAGAGTGAGTGGGTTAGAACACCACCGGCCGATAGGTGAGTAAATGGTGACTGATGCACGTTAAATCTGTTGAGTCGCAAAGTCCTCCATGTTCCCATAACAAATCAATACCTCTGGGGGTACTGGATTGAAGATTGATCGTTCTCTGATTCAGGTCAAAATTACGGTCTGTGGATGAATGAATGGATGTATGAATGGGTCCTCCCTATAAACGGGTGTGACGTATGGGTGTGCCAGAAATCGAATTCTTGGCCATAGATGGCGCCACTGCAAAAAAAGAACAATCGCACCCCTCTGCCTTAAAAGGCATACGTCAACAACAACAACCTATCACAATTAAAAAGAGTTACATTGTTTTTATTAGCGTTATATTTTGCCCTTCCAGGTGACTTTACGTTATTAGATTAGGTTAAACACTTAGATGGAAGTTCGACTCACTCATCCCAATAACGTTTCAATAGAGTAATCATTATCTTTCACGCCGAATATGTTATTGATCGAAACGAACTCATAATAGTCACACTATAACTCAATTAAGCAGTTTTCCGGACGAATTTGCACATTTGTGCTTCTTTATATTTCTATTATCAATAACCAGTGGTTTTACGCTATTTTAGATCATGTAAACACAAATGAAAACAGTAACTAAAAACAAAACAAAGTAAAAATCTGGTTTAAAAATATTAATTAAGTAACGTTGCTTTCACGTGCCATCTGCATTTTTTAAATTGCACTTACTTGACATAACGAATGAAAAAATTGAATTATTAAAGAACGTGCTATAAACTCCCAGTGTAACTCGTTTTAGATTAAATAACAGTGTGAGCTAGCGAATATCATTGATTTTATTTTTTAAATAATTACAAAAAATAAAACCGCCTGCAATTAAATTTGCAACAATGCGTAATAAACCTATGAGAAAAATTGCATCTGCACGTCCCTCCTAAACGTAAAACTTGAAATTTTCAAACGAATTTAAAAAAGAATAATAGAAAACGAGTTTGTGTTTTAGGGAATGAACTCGACTTACAGTTCTTTTGTATTTTCTAAGTTGATTTCAAATTTATAAAAAAATAAAGAGGTGAAGAGTGGAAGAATAGAAGGTTGGTTAACAATATACAATGTTAGTTAACAGTAAAATACATAAAATAGAATAAATTTTATTTTTCAATGAAAATTCTGTTTCACAACAAATTCAAAGATGAATACGAAGCTATTAGATGGTTTTGGAAAGAAGCAAACAGAGATTGGAATCTTTTAATTTTGGAAGAAAAAAAAATATTATTTATTAACTGCAAATAAGGGGGAATTATTATTTACGTTTCATAATTAAACATTATCTGTCGAATGTTGAATTGAGTAAATTAAATCAGACAAAAGTTTACGTGCTCTCTGGCCATTGGGATAACGTTCACAAGTTCTGCGGAAAGTGTTATCACTGACTAAAGGGGAACAACACAGTAAAATTTTCAAAAAACGAAGAAAAAAAAACAATTATTGAACTTTTTGATAGTTTATAGTTTTAAAATTATTATATTAAAATATTGAATTAATTTCTGTAAAAATGTTAAAATTACAACATTTTTTTAATGTGTGTGGTGTTTTTTAAAGCTACAACATAAATTTTTATGTGTGTAACATGATGAAATGAAGATTAAAATAGGTGCAATAAGATTTAAAATATATATA